TATGTTTTAATGTTAACTATATTCAATACAAGTATTTGAATTTAATAATATTTTAATTCTTTTAAATGTTGGTATGATGGTTTTTAATTCGATACTCAATTTCAGCAATATTTTAATCTAATTATACGTTGGCCCAATGTTTTTATAGCGGTGTTTTTATTCTCTTCTTTGCTATATGAAAGTAATAATAACCTTACTTTAGTATTTTATACTCATAGTAAATGTATTTATTTACACTTGCCTGCCATCTTAAAAAACGACATTGATAACAAAAAATTAATCCATTGCTTTTAACGATATTTATTTATTTTTTTTTTTTTTTTAAGTTTCGAATACTTTACTATACATAAAAACAGCGTTTTTCAAGATGGCTGACGTTTGTAAAAATCGCGCCAACAATTGAGCCAACGTAAATCGCCAAAAATCCGTGCAACCGTCTACCAAAGTAGCACCGAAGTTTTTCGTGCATTTAAAAAGATTATAAAAAGCGGGAGGAAAACATCTCAGTTCCAGTTGTTTACTTATTGCAATTAATGATTGTAGCGAATTCGCGGTGAAATCGGATTAGCTTTCTCTGTTTTGAATTAAGTTCTGTTGAACGTTTTAGTTGTTTAAAAGATAACTACTGCGAGATATTGAGATATTGTACGAATATCTCTAAGGAAATTTAAGCTTTTTGTTTTATTTGCTGTGATAAGAATAAATTTTATTTACTTTTCATTGGACTTGTGCATTCAATTTATTACGAACTTGTACGCACGCAACGCGTTTTGGTGTCAGAAGTGGGATTTTGAATGCCAATTACAACAGCGATGGAAGAACAATAGAGGCAGTTGATGACTGCGTTTGCTGAATTCCAAGGAGAGATTAAAGCGGGACAGGAATCCGTTAAAGAAAAATACAAAAGTTGGTCAGGAAAAGATGAAAGTTGTTAAAGAGGAAATGAAGGCTGTTTAAGTACAGATTGAAGCAGGTCAAGGGGAAAAGAAAAGAGAAATTACCTGCGTAACAGAAAACAAATTCGAGGTTATGGAAGTATTAATTAACGCAATTGAAAATAAAGTTGGACACATTGATGAAAAAGTTTCTTCGGTAAAAGAAGAAAGACAGTTACCCTCTTCCTAGAATTGACGATATTCTGAACACTCTTTCTGGAAGCAAGCGGTTCTCAACACTTGATTTAAAGAGTGCGTATTGGCAGGTAGAAATACATCCTGATGACCGAGAAAAGACAGTATATACTACGGGACAAGGACTTGGGCAGTTCAGGGTGATGCCATTTGGACTGTGTCATGCGCCTTCAACATTCGAACGCCTCATGGAGACTGTTTTGAAAGGTATTTCCTATGAAGCCTGTCTGATATACCTGGATGATACATCATCGTCGGAAAGAGTTTTGAAGAACATTTAGAAAATCTTAGAAAGGTGCTTCAGAAACTGAAAGAAGCCAATCTAAAGTTGAGTCCCGCTAAATGCAAATTATTCAGTCAGGAAGTGACTTACCTCAGATATGCCATTTCTGCTGAAGGTGTGTGCACGGATCCTGAAAAGGTGTCAGCCGTTAAGCCTGGAAACGTCCCGAAAATGTCCATCAGCTAAGAAGATTCCTAGGGCTTTGCAGCTACAGAAGATTCGTGAATTCGCGGTGAGATCGGTTTAGCTTTCTCTGTTTTGAATTAAGTTCTGCTGAATGTTTTAGTAGTTTAAAAGATAACTACTGTGAGATATTGGGATATTGTACGAATATCTCTAAGGAAATTCAAGCATTTTGTTTTATTTGCTGTGATAAGAATAAATTTTATTTACTTTTCATCGGACTTGTGTATTCAGTTTATTACAAACTCGTAAGCACGCAACAATACTTTTCACAATTATGCACATAAAAATGCCTGTCACGTGATTTTCCCTTAACATCAGTAACCTTTCTGAAACGATATTTTATTTTTAGTTAAGTACAAATGCAAATATTTCACTTTTCAAGTTATGTACCGCATTTGAACGTGATTCCTGATTTTAATGTTAAATATCTCGGTCAATTTTCGGTGTGCAACAGTCAAACTTTTCATGCTTTATTTTTTATAGCAAGTAAAACATTTTTCTAAATATAAGTGCAGGAGCCGCAGGAACGTGTAAAAAGTTAGGTTTCATATTTCATATTTTTTTTTTAAATATAAAAGTATGGAAACATGAATCTTTGCATCATTTAAAACATTTTCGTAGCTGGAAGTACTTGTCTACTATCAAGGATTGTGAAAAGCAAAGGCTGCGTAAGGACTTTTGTGAATGCGGTGTATAAAGTGTTGAATAATAATAATATAAAAGAAAAGGTAAAAAAGACAATAACTAACAATAGCGTTAAGAAATTTATTTACAAACACAGTTTAATCATATAAACTTATTCCATTTCCTCCCATAAATACTGCATAAATCGCATAACCTTTCCCTCTCTATTTTCAGCCCAAGAAATTAGAAATAAAATTCAAATTTTTTAAAAAAAAGAGGAAAGTTTTTGTACAATAAGCATTAACTGATCAAATAGTTTTATTTACACAACCTATCTACAGTTTTATATCACGAATAATAAAAGCATGGACACCTATGACAAATTAAAAAAGATAATGGCTTATATATTTAAAAACGCAGTTAAAATAACAACTTTCATTATTTAAGCACCCCCCGTCTTTATTTTTCGCGATATAAAATCGTAGATGAATTCTATAACCAGTATTTTTTAATCTATTATTTCTATTAAACTATATCACAACTTAGTTCTCTCTTTTAGTGCATTAATTCACATGCCCATTTTAAATGTAGCTCACTGTACAATTTTTTCAAATTATTAGCCGAAAAGGACAATTTGCATAGAAGGGCTATTAATTTCGTTTTGGCATTTTGCGTCGTCCACTATAAAACGCGGTTTCACTTTTCAAATTGTTGCCACCGAATATTAGAGCCCATCATTATATTTAAAAAAATTAAATAATGAAGAATCTGCATGAATATATGTATGTTTCTCGTATTAAGATAAAACAACGGTACCTAGAGACATCAAAGTTTGCATAACGTAGTCCTCCACTCGAATATGGGCATCTGGAAGCTCTAATTTGGAATTTGTTTTATTAGCTATTTCATATTTTATAAAATTTTAACGAATTTTTGATTAACAAGCTCAATGATTTCAAAGGGAGCAATGGCAACACTGTACGGGAAGTTTTTTTTTTAACTCCGGCGCCCAAGGCTTTGTATCGGTAAATCTAAAGATATGCTATTTTTAAATATTTTGTGACATTGCTGTTGAATTGAATTTTATGTTTCAAGTGCGCAGGACATAATAAATATAAATAAAGGTAACACGCAAAGTAAAAAAAAAAAAAAAGAAAAGGTTCCTTTGGGTGTAATATAAAATCTAAAGATTCAGATTTTTTTTAATTTAATTTCTTTTAAGCCTCAGTTACACTTTATCAATATGAAATTTTTAGTCTTTATTAAAACACAAGCATTAAATTATCCGAAAATTATGAAATAAAGAAAAATAACAGCATTCAGAGAATGAAGAAATCGCTTTGAATAGTCAGTTTCGGAAATTGGAAGTAATTTATAAGTATTTTACTTAAAGCTAAAATGAAATGAAAAAAAAAAAAAAAAAGTATATCCCAATTCATCACTGAATGCTCCAAGATGTGCAAAGTCAAAACGATTTTGAATGCCGTCTACTTCAGACTGGAACACATTTTTTTAAAAAAATGTAGAGAATCATTCGATTTATATTTTCTTAACATTATTGGTTTAAAAAATATCGAAAAGTTTGCTTTAATCTGCGAAAATTTCAAAATTTTATATCCAATGCATTTTTAGATGTAAAAATTATAAGATCACGAACGTTATAAGTTTCTTGTATGTTAATTAACCAGTTATTTTATGTTTTGACCGTTTACCTGCCAGAATGGAAATTTAGTTCGCGCGTATTTAAAAAACGAGGTTTTTAGATTGTAAGTCAGAGCGTGCTCTGCCTTCCGAGGCCACACTACTAGCTTGCTAAATTAACAAATATCTGCAATCTTCGGCCTTGCATTATAATTACCGATAGTTAATAGTCATCTTATTATCCAATAATAGCAATAATAATAAGTTTTGAGCCAACTTCGCGTTTGTGTAGCCTTCGGCTACTAGTTTATTTGAATATAAATTTTACATTTGAAATTACTCTACTTAAAAGTTATCTAGCAAGTGATTGGTTGATTTGTAAGCAAAAGATATACTTTCTCTTCATCTTACTTTGCAATGAAGGGTCTCTAAAAACCCTTCTGAAGCTTTAGTTGTTACTTTAGACAGCGATAATTCCCTTGACGTACGCCAAGAGTTCGGATACTGCGAATGATTGCACAAAAGTTCATAACATCAAATAGTCTAAAATATCGAGCGATTGTCAAAAATTGGTAAAAAAAAAAAATTGGGAATTAAGTTACAACTTTTATACAAGTTTTATTAAAAAGATTTTTTTCCCGCTGCATTCTTTAAAGCAAGTACTTAAATTCTAATATGCTTAGCTTGTGCGTGAAACGATTATATGCGCCAAAAACCGATTAAATATTAAATAAAAAAAGTCTAAATTGAATTTTGAAAAATAATCGCTTCACCACATTGCTTTGTCATTGAGGAACAGTGTGTGCGCAAAATTTGCACTCCATAGCTTATCTGGAAGTAGGTTAAAAATCGACGACAAAATTCCACTCACAGTGATACACAATGATTGCACTAAATGAAAGCTTATAAAAAAGGGAGATACGCGGGTGAATAAATGGTATAATTATTTATTGTTATTAAGTCTGTAAATATGTGATTGTTCCCAGCACGTACATAAAGTTTTAATTTTTTTATTACATTGCGCAACTGATACAGATAATTAAATACCAATAACTACTGGCTTAGTTTCTCAATTGTGTGCTTATGTAATATATTCCAGTTAAAAGTTTCAATTTCGATCAGTTCAGAAAAGTTACCTGTTTCATATTTTCTTCGCTTTCTTTCATCTTTTGCTCGTAATTGCGAATGAATTCCCGAAGCTCTTCTTCTTTATCCTCAAGGGTGCTGTAGAGTTGTTTCATCTGGGTCAGGAGGTCGAACTTCTCGGCTTTCAATCTCTTTCGATCTTGTTTCAAGGCTGGGGAGGAAAAAAAACTATTAAGTTCTAAATTTCTACTCTATAAGACTTTGCTTGCAATTATGTGACAGAAATATTCCGCAGTATCATTTAGCTGTATTAAATTATTTTATTCTTTTTTGACACAGATTAATCAGAATATAGATATCATAAGAAGTGTTTATAAAATCCTTGCAGGAGTGTATAAATTTAGATTTACATATGATAGACATCCATTGTTAACCGCGTGTAAAATCCCTATTTCTGAAACTATACTTTAATACAGCTCATATTTTATTTAATTGCCAACATAATCAGTATCTTTCGTGACGCATCGTGCTAATAGATTGACTGGTATTCATTTAGAAATGCTTAGAAGATTGTTTGTGGCATCAAAATGTGAACCAATCCCGAGCTGCCATGAAATAGTAGTCAGGCGGGGATGAAAAATTAATGGGCAAAAATGTTTCTTCAATAGAATGATAGTAATGTATTCTGTTTAGTTTCGCATGAGACAGTACGACAAGCTTTTACAGAAGTTGTGGGTTGTAACTTTCGAGATGTGTGTTTTAATCAAGTTCTGCATTCTTTTTAAATGCCGATTATATTACTTTTTGGTGCCAAATTAGCACAGGAACATTTTTCGTTTTCCCAGCTTGTTAGAAAAATTCCTCGGTCTTCGCTCAATGGTTTCACGGATTGCTTTTGTGATCCTGACCGTCGTCTAATGAATGCACCTTAGATAGGCAAACATCTCCTTTGACATGATCCGCTAAAAATAGCTCTAGAAGATTCAGGTCAAGTTACTGGAGCAGGCAAGCAGTCGATGTAGTTTTCAAAAATCTTTTCGTCTGAAAAGATTTTAACTGTTGCAAAACATATTTTAATGCATAGAAGAGCATACAGCTTATACAAACTTTAATGCGCACTTTATAATAGCGCAATTACAGCGTTTTCACAAGAAACCCGTGATGAGTTCAAGATACAAAAGATATTAAGTTCCACAAGAATTTTATTAGTTATTATTTTATTAATTATTTTATTACATGAATAACAAAGAAAATAATTATCCTTCCCACTGCAAATTTTAGTAGTCAACTTCAAAAGGCAAACTTTAATTTCTTCAAATATTTCTATTAAATTGTTCGAATCGACTTTACTTTTCCTCAATCTGTAAATACTCAATAATTTTTAAACCAAGTTAATCCAGAAGCCAAGTAGCTAAAACCATATAGCAATTGCAGTTTCACATTAAATATGTTAAATAAGTTCGGTTACTTGCTTTAACTTTCCCGGTTGACAAGACTGGTAGCCATAATTATTACTGTTACATAACCTGCTAAATTCCATCTATAGTTATTGGATTCATAATTGTATAGTTAGGCAAAGCAAAACATCTATAATCTTTACAGATACAGAATTAAGTGTTTAACATATCAAAAGTTTATTTTATTTATATAATAATTTTCCGTTTAAAACACGAAAATTTTACAGATATATCCTTTGGTATCTTTCTTAGAAAAAAGTTTGTTCTACGTATACAATTACTTCACATGACATTACAAGCAAATCGTCCATAACTTCTACACGTTTATCTTTTGGGATTTTGCGTAAGAAAAATACAATTTACTTGCGTAATTAATTGTAATAACTTTGCAAGCATACAATCTGTGACTGTTACGGATATAATTTCTGCAAGGTATAAAGAATGTGCCCGTTGTTATTACTCAAATAACCCACAGAATATTAGTTGCTATAAGCTTCCTTAGTAACTTTCAAAGTTTGCTAGACTTTTATCGGAGCAAGAAATATGAAAATTCATTGATGCCTTCGCCGTAATTCGAATTCCAGATCATCCGTTTCCCAGCTTGACGTGCTATCAATTACACCTCGAAGGCGTCAAGCAGAAAATTTCTTATAACCTAATAAAATACTTTTTATGGTGTGCATGCTGTACTAGTACTAACGGGTAAAGCCCAGCTGACATGATTTTTACCAATAATATCTCTTTTGATCAAAATTGATTTGGCCTTTTTGTGTATTTTTTAAATAGGCACAGCTTTTGAAAAAAAAATTGCAACGAGTTTATTTTCATAAATATTGATCGTAAACATGTACCTGTTTCCAGTTACAAAGTTTCTCGAAATAAGATGAAGGATTTTATGAAAATAGTTACATATCAAGAGGAAAAAAGACCGACCCCATGTAAAAAGAAGGGAAAAAAATAAAATTTGAAAGCTTTCAGATTTTTTATTACGCCCAAAAGAGGCCCTTTTTTAACGTTCTGTGTTAGCTTTATTTATTTATTTATTAAATAAAGGTATATCTTCGCATTTAAACCACATAAAAATAAATTCATCGGCAATATCACAAAATATTAAAAAAAAAAAACATATCTTTAAAATTTCCGATACACAGTCTCGCGCGCTGGAGACAAAAATGTTTCTTTTTCCGTATAGTGTTGCCACTGCTCTGTACCATTGAGTCTGTTAATCAAAAATTCATTAAAGTTTTACAAAATATGAAATAAATAATAAAACAAATTCCAAACCCAAAATTCGGGCATCCAAATGCTCATGTTCTGGCGGAGAATTAGTTATTCAAAATGTGATGGCTCTAGGTACCGTCGTTTTTTTCACAATGCCGAAAACATATATACATTCATGCCGATTCTTCATTTCTTAATTTCTTTAAATATAAAACAGGACGATAATATTTGGTGGCAATAATTTAAAAAGTGATTCGCCGTTATAGTGAAACGCCACAAAATGCCGTTTTGAGGCTATATTACCTACGTAATTTGTCACCTATATTACCTACGTAATCTGTCACCTATATTACTTACGTAATCTGTCACCTATATTATTTATGTAACTCCTAAATTATATGTTTACCTCTTGCCAGCATTTAGCACTTTCGAATAAAATCATTAAGGACGTTGAACTCCCACGCTCTACAAATGGCATACTTGGTTGACCACGCGTCACCTTTGTCACTGGTCGGTCAAATAATTTGTACTGCACATACATTTGATTTCACCATCAGGTACTGCACATACATTTGATTTCATTTGTTCTTGTAACCTTTACAGAATGACATTGGAGCTGGCTGTCAACGAACGGCAGTCTCGTATTTTAATAATGATATGTATGAATATTCCCAGTTACATTTCACAGCGCATCGCAGAATTTTAAATGAGTGAAAATTTCTTAACATTTCGTTGATTGCAGCTTATCCGAGATATAGATGGCTTTTTTTTCCCCTCCCCAGGTACATCGTTAATTATCTCACGTAATGTCTAATAAGGAATATTTGTACGTATTTCATTAAAATTACGTAAAATAATGCTTATTCCGCTTTACGTAAGATAATTAACGATGCATTTAGTGAGTTGTCAATGACATAGATATTGGTTGGTTAAGTGCTTTTATGCCACCAAAAAAGTTATGTTAATGCTTGTCACACGAGTCATATATGCCATGCCGACACTTTAGCATGGTTAGGAGCATCAGTAATGGAGCGTTAACTTACATATAAAAGACAAAAGAATATTTTATTAATACTTTAAAACTTTATTAAATAAAGTAAAATTTCTGTTATTTACTTATATATCATGGTTCTGAGACAATAAAGAAATAACGCATGAGTTTAAAATTTCAGTTGAACAAAAGTTATACGTTTCGTTTTGCGCGTTTATGAAATACTGTTAACAATAAAATTTACTACATTGTAATTAAAAGATTCGGAAATAAAATTTAATGCAGCCAAAATTTAACTGTAAGATAGGATTAAAATTATATTTTCCCCCTGAATTTTTGTATACACCTGCAGTTAAGAAATTATAACCATATAATATTCTTACATGCATTGCCATTCTTATATGCATTGCCAGTTTTTCATTTATATTTCTAAATTTCCATCAGTTTTTGTAACAATCACTAGCGGGCAAGCCCACCAGATGAACGGCTGCAGCCAAAGCAAAATTTACAAGTTTTATGTAGCCCTGAAAAGAAAATGTAGAGGAAACATTTCAATATGAACGAAACAGTCCATTCTTTCTAAGCAACAACCAATTCGCAAATAATTTTTTTACTGCCAATCCAGTAAACAAAAACTTTGATACTTCAGGTTAAAATGTATGATATCAGAATTTAAATTTAATGTAATATAACAACAATTTTCTCAATATTAATAAAAGAATTAACACGGCATTCATATATCGTGTCAATTATACTATTCAGAAACAAAAAAGTTACCAACAGCAGCTATTTATAAAAAATGATGACATTAAAGAAACATTTTCGGCATACAATGACGTCACATACAATCGTGTGCTTTCTTCAACGTCAGAATATGACTTTACTTACAAATTTTACTAACAAAATCTACGATTTGAAAGCGAGCAGTGACAACACGTTTCAAAATAAAGCAGATTTTTATCTCCAGCGCGCAAGATTGTTGCCACTCGGAAAAATGACTGCGAAAATTAGCGTTTTCTGAGTTTTTAATTAATATCTCGGCTGATTAAAGTCGTTCGGAGATGATAATGGTCCAAATGGCTTTCCACGAACTTTTGGAATCGGGAATAATGTATTTAATTTTCGGCAATGCTATTTTTATTTCATCGTACAAAACTTCGAAATTTTTATTAAGAAGCTCTACGATTTGAAAGCGAGCAGTGGCAACACTTCTCAAAATAAAGCAGATTTTCATCTTCAGCAGATTTTGTTTCATCTTTATTATCATTTTCATCTTACTATGGACTTTGCCCGGTACCAAGGCTGCTGACTTTATCATCATTAAACTCGTATATCACGTGACAGTCTACTTCCCTATGAATATTAGGTACTATCGCCTCAGACGAAAGCAGAAACATTTCTGGGACCTTGTATATATTATTTTTCATTTTTACTGTACGATACTGTGTCAAATCTACGATAATGTGTAAAAGATATGCCACTGCGAAAAGATATGCAGAAATTATTGCTATTATTGCTTATCAAACGAAGACTTCATCTGTG